CAAAAGAAACAAAATGTTTTTAAAGGGGGGGGGGGGAGAAGTGCTAATGTAGCATTTTTTTCAATTTTTCCAAAAATTTCCATTTTTTTCTGAGCTTAAAAATTTCCGGAAATTTTACATCTCTAGGTGAGTCCAAGAGGCCATGGATCTCTGTGCATGTCCACAGTGTTTTATAACTCCCGGTGTTACCCATCTGCTGTGTAATATGTTAAACTGCCTCTCTCCAGGGATTTGAATGTCGGCTTCTAGTTTCTAATCCCAGTACTAAAACTTCCTATTGTGTGGATGTTCCTAGAGAGAAGAGATTATTGTAGTAGCAATATCCACGTGGGGGTTAATCCCTTCAAAATTAACAGCTAGTTTATGAAATACTTGTAGATTCACAGTCTTAATTCCAATATGCATTAGAGTGAGATCACTGGTTGGAGAGATGGCTCGTAGCAGTGGCGGGGAGGGGATCGGCTGCAGTACATTCCCTGCCTTGGCTCGAAATAACTTCTAATTTTGCTGATAAAACACAGACAATGTGCCAGACTCTTGCAAAAAAACCCAAAATTTGGTCGTCCTGCCTCAGAGCCGCCTAGCTGTTAGCTGGGGATATTCTGAAGACACAGTCTCTGCCGGTTGTATAACAACAATCTGTTCTTTGTGTTTCTTCCACTGCCACCTTCCCAGCTGCAGACCTGATCCTCCAAAGAGGTAGCATCCTATGTCTCTTTCATCAAAGCTTGCATGTCTGTCAGATTATTCATGGGGACCAGATGGTTTTTGCTGGGTTCGGCATTTTTAATGTGCATGTCTTCTGCAAGAAGTGGCAATTCTGAGTTGTTAAATGGTTGTAAAAGTCTGTTCTGCATTGTACTTGGAGGAAGAAAGAGAAATCAGGAACGTCTTTCAAAGTGTGCTTCAGAAATACATCCCGGAGAGTTATTATTAGTTTATTTAGAAAATGTACGTGGCACTTCTCCAGAGATATTTATAATATCCTCTTCTTCAACTCGTCTTGTGCGACTGGCTTATCGGAACAGAACCCTTGGCTTCTGTAAAACTAAACACTGGGTAAACTTGGCCACAACATTGGTTGTCATGTAAGGAATCTATGAATCTATGTCTCAAGTGTGGCCCTCATCTGCGGATATCTAAATCTACACATCAGGGCCATATTTACCTTAAAAAGATGTTGCTACAAACTTGGGGGACCTCCTAGGTTTCCAGAAAAATCTGTCATTGTAAAAAAAAAGTTGGGTGTTCGTTGGTGGTGTCAATGGAACTCCGGAGCCACGCTGGACCCAGGGTGGCGGCGCAGCCCGTGAGCTGAGGCAGGCCCAGGAAGAAGGGGGGTGAAGATTATTTATATTTCTTTATTTATTCAGTTTTTAGGCTGCCCTTCCCTGCAAGCAGGACTCAGTCAATACATAAAAACAGTCAACTCCAGGTGGCAGAAAATAGTTTAACTACAAAAATTTCACAGGCCCCCCCCCCCCGGGGGGGGGAGGTATTACAGTGCCAGACCTCGTACTGCACCGTCGCTGTCATCTAACAAAGTGCAGGCAAGAAGAGGGGTAATTTTAAAAAGAGACGGGGAAAGAGGAGTGAGACAGAATGAAAACAACACTGTGATTGGCCACTGAAACAATGCTATTTTATTCTGCATCGCCAGTTGGATCTTCAGGAGCCAATCAGGAGCCCTGCTAAGCAAGAGACCTGCCCCATTTTAAAAATACTTGGTCGGCACCAGGGGTCGTTTGGTAGAAAAAGAGCTAGGGGAATTCATTAGCATAACTCATTAGCATATGCCACACCCCCTGCCATCACCGGAAGTGTGTCATAAGACCACACCCACCACTCAGTTAGTCTTAGTCTTAAAGGTTAGTCTTAAAGGTGCTATTTGTTAGTCTTAAAGGTGCTATTTGAACTCTTGGACTATTTTGCAGCAACAGACTAACACAGCTACCTCGGGGAAGCTCCTGGATGGGGCTGGGAGTCCTTGCGGAGGCCACGTGGAGTGGCCTCGGCCAGGCAGAGGGGGAGGACGCCAACTTACCCTCCTGCTTCTTCCTCCTTCTGCAACAGAATGAGGCTGGAAGCAGGGGGCGGCCGGAAGAAGGGGGCGGGGCTTCGTCGTGTGCCCCGCCCCCCTGCACCTCACCCGGGGGAAC